TAGTTGTGGCGGCCTTACTTGTGGTTCCTAGAGTTTTCAAAGGTAGAATGGGAGGCAGAGCCTTCACTTATTGAGGCTCTTTCCTGTGGAACCGGCTCCCAGCTTAGATTTAGGAGACAGACACTCTCTATCTTGAAGATGAGGTATACAACATTTTCATATAGCTTACATTGAGGGCTGGATCAAGTATTTACCTTGCAAGATAAATCTCCTAGAGGCAACTGTTTTTGTGAATCAGCAGTATATATTAATAAAATTGAATTGAATTGCAGAGTTTATGAATAGCATCAAAATATGCACCTTTTACCTTCTTTCTGACATTTTCATGTGACAAACATATGCAATATATCTTGTTTCTCTGACATTTCAAATCAAAGCTAACTACAAACAGCTAACTTGCTAAGCTTCCAGTCCCCGGCTATGCACAGCATGCGTCAGTGAATGTCAGGGAAGGCTGCCTGACATATGAGGCCCTCATAAATTTCCAAACTGATATATTTGAAAAACAGAATTGTTATTAAGCTGTAATAAAGAGACAAATATGTCCATAGTTTTACTTTCAGTTGCAGGTAGACTTACCCATATTGTAAATGGTTATGGAAGGTCACAAATGTGTTTGTATTCACTGCCGTTCACTGACTTTGGTGACTTCTTGGCAAAATTGTTCTGTGGTTGGTTACAGTTGTTATCAAGCTGATGATTTCAGCTCTCTCTGAGATTGCTTTGTTAAATGGGACATGTTGAGAGTCATTGATGCAATATTGAAGAGCCACGCCAGCCTCACAAAATCCAGGGTATTGTCTCCCCCAGCTCTTTGTCCTTACACAAGGACGTGTCATTTGGGCTTTAGATTTCCTTAAAAGTGTACTTTCCTGCCTCAATTTCCTGTCATCCCAAGCCAAAGTCAGCATTTCCTTACCTTTGCTGAAAAACAATTCTGAGGCACATTTCGCACAGCTCCTGAGAGCTTTTGCTTTGGGAACTACAAAGATTTTTATTTTTCCCCGGTACACTGCTTTCTAGACTAACAGCCACAGTTAGTGTGATGTTCATCTTTCTGTTCTCAGGTGTAGTAAGCACACGGGTTTTCAGTACATTACAACCATAATAATTTCTTAGCTAGCCTATTGTCATCAATAACAAATCACAACTGATTAAATCAACTTAATTGCAACATCAACATTTAGCCTACATTTGCAGGTGTAGAAATCTCACTGCAGTCAAAAGCCTCGAGTTATCCAAACTCATCAACCAACTATTTTGGGGGACTCCCAGAGCTTTTACTTGCCTTCTGTTGTGTTTGCTTTAGACTTAGGTATTTTAAAGACACGGAACTGTGGTCTCATTTGCATACACCTATGCAAGTGCCAAAGTCACAATCTGAACTATTATGAGCACTGAATGTGAAAGACTCCACTAAGCTAAGGACTCAGGTCACTGTCTCTGCCTTGGTTCAAAGCTACAATCTTTATATTTATAGTTAAATATAAATGTTTGTGCAACCTGATTGAAATGATGTAAAAATACACAAAAAAAACATACATGCCTTTATCCACACAACAATGTAGAGAGAAAATGAGCATTAGTGACACATAGGATAATTCAACCATGCATGCACACAATTTCAAGCCTGATCTGGAAATGAAAAATAAGGTGATGCATAATTTAACAAAAACAAAACAGACAATTTCACAGAGCATGCATCTTGTGTTATTTTTTGTAACATTTTTTTTCCCTTCACATATTGACCCAAACTCAAAAGGTGTGATTTGATAGATTTAATGTGACGTTCCTAAAGATCAAATCCAAAACATTTTGGGTTTGTAAACAAATGCTAGTTATAGTTAATAAGCAAGAAATTATAGCTCTGCAAGGATGGAGAACACTATAATTTGAGGATGGAAAGGTTTTGTACATCGTCTTTATTTTGCTAACTGAAAACGTTAAAAAATGACATAAGTTCTGAAAACAAAACCTTTTTTTAAATCGCAGAAGTAGTAACAGAGAATTATCAATCTATGTTGTTTCTACTGATGTACCATGATTGATTTAATATATAGATTGTATTGCAGCGTAGTTTGTGAAACAATAAAGTTCAGTGCTGTCTGCTGAACTGTGAATAGCAGACTGTAGCTGATAACTAGCTTTTGAAATACAACGCTGGAAACAGTGACATAACATATTGTATATATATACAAATGTTGAGGGGTATACGCATGTGCATGATCCGATATCGTCGTGTTGGTGCTGCTGCTGATCAATAAAACAGTTTGGTTTAGGTTCAACATTGTGAGTGACCAATCACATTGTAGTGATGTCATAGATTTGCAAAACACGTCACACGACACAGTAAACCACAACACTAACCCCATAACCGTAAACCTAACCCTGACTATAGCCCTGTAACCTTAACCCTAAACACAATCACATCCTAACCCCCCCAACCGCAAATGCCCCTTTTTTGAATTTCATCTGCAGTTTTTTTTTCCCCAAGTTGCAAAGCTATGACAATGTAATTGGCCAGATGCAATGTTGATCCTGGACAAACAGTATTATGTGTAACAACACAAACGTGATGATATCAGACAGACCATATGGATGTAGTCATTTATAACTTGAAGACAGCCCAAAAAATCCACTCTGTTGGGCTCTTCTGCCTCTCCATCTGGCAAGATGCATGATTAAAAACTGTCAACCAATCATTCGCCTACCTATGATACTGCTTGGTGCATATTTGTTTCAGAAACAGAGACCATTTTAGTTATGTTAACAATACACACAATACACATTTTTGTGATAAATATGGACTAAAAGTGTAAGAAATCACTTTATTTAGGCAAAGAAAGATATTAGGTATTCCCAGCTCGACAAACACTACACCTGTGTGTAATATCCCACAACCACTGAAATTTTGCAACTCTGTTGCGACACCGGGACACTTGAAATCCAGCAGAATGTAAATTTAAAATTCAGTTGCCAATCATGTCTGCACCGAATGCAAACCGCATCATGCCAAATTTAAGATGCTGGGCTCTGTTAGTGAGCTTTGTTATGGCGGTCCCATTGATATCATTCCACGAGGGGGGAGGAGACTGGTGTATAATCACCAGACAGCAGTCATCACTGTGAGGAGAACTGGAGGGCAGCAATTTTCTCTCTGCTGTCTACCTTCTCACACACAGTGGTTGACACTCTGTCATTGCCTGATAAACATTTGGACTGATATGTGGCTTTGTGCACACATTATATGGGCATAGCAGCACATGCTGGCATATACACTCATGAATTTAGGGTGCACACAATGCTGAATAGTGAATAGTGGACACACATGTGCACATGCAATTGGTTTCTGACTGGCAGGTGCAGTTAGACACACACAGACCGGGCATGTAGCCATGTCAGCGCAAAACTTGTGACTTCTTTTTGTCCTTCACAAGTTTGGTTCAGAATGATAAGAATGTTCAAGTCCGCCTTTTTTGTCTATTCAGACTGAAGGATGAGAAAGATTTCACAACATAATGGCAAATCCATGAGTCTTAATAACTATGCTTGATAAATAAGAGTTTCTGTAGTTTCTTACTTAGCATGTATCCAAGTTGCTTATCCATGTTTACCCCTCTGGATTTCTTTGTTCTCTGACATACAGTGGATTTTAGAGATGAGCACTTGTCTCATTAAGTGTCTGCTTTCTGCTGATAACAACAAGGGAATACTGATCTGCACAGCACTGTTTAAAAGGCAGGCAGTGTTTCATGTTTTTTCTGTATCAATGATGCCATTAGGGTCATGTCAGGTGGAGGTTATGTTCCATTGTATCTGTCTGCCTTTAATTCCTGCTTCTTCTTTTCTTTAATATCTCAGCCATAGATTTTCTTGTACAGAGATTATAGGTTTTTATCAGAGTCATATATCTTTCAACTCTATAAAGTGTCCTTCCATCTCACTAAATGTGGCTTGGTGAGAGTAACATTTGGAAAATGACCACAAGCAACGATTTGTCAAAGTGTGCTGGCTGGTGTGCTCAATACACTTTCTTCTTCTCTACAGTAGCAGAATTACAGTTGAGTGTTCGCTGACCTAATGCAATAGAGGCTCCATACGGACAGAGTAATGTGATTTCCCAGGCTTTATTCTGTGTCTGCTGCTAGATAGAGAGGAGCCCCGAAGAGATGCCATCTGAATTGGGGATGGCTGTTGGAGAGAGGCGGCCATTGAACAAGGGATGGAAGGACATAATGCATGTGATGCAAGCTGCAGCCTGGATGTGGACCGCAGACGAGAAGGACAGAGGAAAAAGACAAGGACTCCCTGGGGTCAAGTGATTATTATAAGGCTCTCAGTGAAGCATCACTGACCCTTTGGTATTAACTGTGCTGCTAAATAAGAAAGTACGGAAATGCTTAAATATCGAGCCTGCGTAGCATTTCCAATGGGAGAAATGTTTCGTCACTCATCAATGCATTAATGCAATCACAGCATTGTAGCCATTCCCCGACTCTCTGTGAATGGCACTCATGGCCACTGATCAGTGGTCTTTGATCAATGATCGTGACAATTTCCTTATTAATGATCAAGGAACTGACCTCACAGTCCATTGCTCATTCAATGGGCTGGTTTCAGTTATTGTGCAAATATGTACTGTTTATACGATTGGGGAAACCTGCAGTCAGCTGAGACTGAAGAAGTCACTTGGATGAGTGATGAAATGTTTCTCCCGATGAAAACGTTACGTCCAGATGAACAGAATCAAACTTTTTGGGAAGCTTATCAGTCCCAAGCTAAATGGAGAATGACTGAGACTGTTTGTTTTTTCTTTGCTTGTTTTATGTTTGGTTTCTTCGATGGACAAAAGATGTTGATCAGATTTTAAAAGATTTTTTTAGGATGTAACTAAAGGCTCCGCACATTTTCAGTATATCTTAGAAACATATGGTCTGGGAAAAATATTCAAAAAGATTTGATTGTTATAGATGAGCCCAAGACAAAATATGTTCCACAATAGTTGTCTTTATTAAGACTGAACTCGTTTCCACTAACAAATGCCTGCAATACGTTAAAACCAAATGAAATTTCATTTTTGCAACAATTACAGAGATAAACACTACAAACTAGTGCACGTAAACAACAAAACAGTTAAAGGGAAAAGAAATTCACAGCCCTGTTAGTAAGCAATGTCCAAAGAAAGATATTCATCGTTTTAATGTTGCCGTTTTGATTTTGTGTTAGGTAAGAAAGGACCTCACAATAATATTTAACTACTTTAAACATAAATAAGACAAAAACAATCTTTTAAAATTGGTTTTGAAACAGTGGAATGTGTGATATATTCATGGTCTATGACAACTATGTTGAAAGCATTGTTTGAGTAGAGAGCGTATCGGTGTAATGTGGTGTTTTACTGCAAGTGTGAAGGGATTAAGATGTATCTGTAGTTTAAATGCTGCTGGTGAGCAACTGCATATAAAATATGGATGTATAGTACTGTGCAAAAGTCTTGAATCACCCCTAATTTCTTTATATTTTGCTCTCAAGGCTCCAGACTTTCTTTCTGTCATGTTAAGAAGTGGTCCTGAGCAATAGTTCTCTAGGCTTTCTGCAGATCAGGTTTTTCTTTGGACATTGCCTGTTTTTTTTTCATTATTTTTCAGTCCTGTCCTTGTACCTGACCATTTTTAAAGCAAATATTATTTTTGTTTGTTAAGCCACTTAACACTGACCTAAAAAAGAAATCCTTAACTCAAGTAACGAACCACTGTGTCCAACAGACAATTTAGCAAAGAACCAAAATATAATTTTAAATTGTAACTTTAGGCACTTTTTAGTAGCAGCCTGTTAAAAAAAACATAATTTGTTCCCATTACTTTAGCTTAATCTGAAAAAAATGACCAGAAATAACATTTTGACAGATATAAAATAGGATTTTTGCACCAACAAAGGGAATTCCAAAAGAACTATTATCTGAAACTTGGCATATCTTGGCATGGGGTGCAGTGTATGCTTAAAATATGTGAGGAAATTGGTCAAGTGAAGGAAAAAAACAAAGTAGCAAACCTAAACAAAACTACAGCAGATGAACAGTATCAGTGAGTCATGTCCTTAAGAAATAGGAAAGAATACAGGAAAGAACTGGCACAGGACCTGAAAAATACATCTGGCCCTTCAGTTTATCAATTTAATGCTTGCCTCAACAGAAATGGTCTCATTTTCAGGGTCACTGTCAAGGAGAGGTCAGAAAAGAGGTATAACAGTGAGTGTCCACAGCCATCAGTAAAACACAGTGAAGGCTCTGTCATGGTTTGGGACCGGCGGCCATATTTAAAACGTATGCTTGTATATGTTGCAATAAATGGTTCTACATATTTCCTATTTTGCTAGCAAAATGGGGAGAAATGAGGAGTGGCTTGAGACTTTTTGGACAGCAGAAGCTGACCTCTAATAAAAATAAATAAATAAAGTAAAACATAATGGGAAATAGAAGAATGTTTTCATTTCGTTCTCTAGTTTCAAGCGTTATTATGTATTTTCTGTAACCTATGACCCTCATTAGAGTCAAAGCGAAGTATGAAGCAGGATATGTTTTTGCGATTGACAAGTCATTATGGTACTAGCGAGCAGTGTGGCTCTTTTATCAGTCTGATCCTCCCCTTATGACAGCTGTCCTCCTGCTTAAGGCTTGACATGGTGTTTCACTAACCAATAGGTGATGCCAGAGTGGCTACATCCATCTTTAATTTTCAACCTATGGTCAGCACTCAAAGTGTTTTGCTATCCCAGTTTAGAAAACACATTTTTCTGAAGGCTTGTGCAATGTGTTTTGTTGCCACAGAGGAAATGAAGCATTAAAACAATTTTATAGCGCAGTATGTGTAATCCAGAAATGAATGAGGACACTGCGGCTCAAAAAGGTCAGTCTGAAAAATGCCAACTATATTGACAAGAGACCCAGGCTTGATTTTACACATTACTCTAGTTCATTTTTCAGTTGCACAGGAGAAGAGCCTTTGCAATGAAGAATATTTTCTCCTCTGTTATAGTCATGGTGTTTGTAACAACATCATATCAATAAAAAAGGTCTTAGTTGGGATAGTTTGGAGCATTTAATAATGCAATATTTTTTCAAAATAAGAGTGGAGATTGATTTGGTTTAATACACTGCTAGCCTTTCCATTTTTTCTATGAAATGGGCTACAGTGTGACAAAATAATAATTTTGTATTATTAGATATTAAGTAGATAGTCAAACTTCCAGACCAACAAAGCAGCTTTCATTTGTGGCGACAGCAAACAATACAGGCCATTAACACTAACCTGTAGTAGACTTTGTGAAGATTTTTGCCACTAGTCAAACTAATGTATAAATAAGATGTCAGCTGGTTAGTGTGGTAGAAAAAGTGTCTTTTTCATATGTCCTCTGCATAAATGTGGAGGTGTTATTCCTGCTTAGAGAAATTTTCAACGGTCTCTGTGAACTGATAAGGACCAAGGCTTGTGACCTGACTTTAAAATAGCTGGTAATGGGAACAAGAAGCTACAAAACACAACAGAAGTCTAACCAAGTAGGCCCTTTAAGGTCAGTATGTATAATAGAAATAATGCAAATAATGGTATTAGCATTGCCATTAAATGATGTACCCAGTACTCACACATTTCTGTGTGTGCAGGAAGTAACATCAAGGGAACTGATACATTACCCAGCACATCAGGATATGTTGGTGTGTTCACGAGATCTTTTTTTGGCTTGTTTGTTTCTCTCCAGTGTGGCTGCACTTGTGGATCGAAAACAAATTGTGACCTCAGAGTCTAGTTAACATAAATTGTATTGGTCTTTGCGGGGTAATTTTAGGAGGGAATCAATAAAAAAGATTTTTTTTCCAGCAGCACTGATGAAGTTTAGAATAGTACCTGGCATTTGAGCACAGATCTAATTCACGTGTTTTCCAGGAAGATAATCCTGTTGGTTATTGTGTCTCACTGTTGTATGCCCGTATAAATGTATAGACTTATTTCTGATGCCTCACCTTGGAAGTCTGTCTTGTAAAATTCCGACTTGTATACATATTCATGTTAGGTTTATCCTCTGGCTAAATGTGCCATCTTGTAGGTCACTTTCTTTGCCCTGTCAGCTAATCTGTTGCTGGCAGTGTTCCCATCTCCACTCTCAATCACAAATGTGCCCTCAAGGCACCATGACATCCACACTGCTTGTTAACAGCGGGAGCCATAAAGAACCTCGCCTGCATCAATATTCCCATATCACTCCTTTCTGCTGTGCTACAAACCAGACGCCGACAGCTAGAGAGGCATCTGATCGAGGTTGTGTAATCACTCTGGTAGCCAACACAACTGTGCTCTCGGGATTTAAAGGGCTCTTCAGTTTTCTACCATACCTGATGCAGCAACGGCACGCATGTAAAAAGTTCATTACAGAAATGTACCATGGGAACAAATGGAAATGAATTTGTGTGTACCTTCATGTATGCATGGAAATGCGATGTGTGTATCCACATCACAGATAGAGTCTAATTGTTGACCCTGGGATTGAAATGAAGTAGACTGCCACAGTAGCTGAGGGGGGTTTTACATGCTGATGAATATTGTTACTCTGCATCCAGATTTGGTATTAAAGTGCACATCAAATGTATTAAGGTGACAGTATTTTTTTTTCCTGCAGATTTTTACTTCAGAAAGTCTTCTGCAGCTGAATGAATAAATTATTCTGAGTTATTTAGGGCAAATGTGTCAACTAGACAAGTTGAGCCAAAAATACAAAGCTGGCTGCATCATAATCTATCAGCTGAAAAATACAAACACATTTACCGTCCTTTCTCTTTGATAAACAATCAAAGGCATGCACTACTGGTAGTTACACGCAAGCATGGAAGAAGAACTTCATTGTTGTGTATTGTAAACAAAATCTTTTATTTTCCTTCATGATATTTGCAGTGATCCTTTATTACAGTCACGGATTTGCTTATTTGGAAAGCATTGTCGTTTGGCTGTTGTTGTTAAGCACAGACAATTCGATAATACAACAATTTCCCTTCGGTTAAGAAACTTGTGTATTGAAACGTTATCTGTGGATTATTGTGCCATCGAAAATAAACACAATGCTTGCTGATCATTCATTCAGCGTGTTCAGCATGTGCTCGTCACTGTCACAGTCTCCTGTTCTGCCACAACACAATTCATCAAATGAAAATAAGGCAACTGTAGAATTTCCATTTGGCTCAAAGAGGTGACTGCTAATGCGAAACAGATTTTTCATAACATCTGTTTTTATGTCAGACGTGATGATGAGAACTGTGGCGTTCTGTTGCGTCTGAGAAATGTGATCTTGGTCTTTGTCGACTATAAAAGCGGTGTTTGTGAGCGGCAATCTCAAAGGGTTTTTTTTACACTTTTAGCTAAAGCAATAAAACATCCACAACTTCCAATACCTATGTTTCCACATTACATTTGACCTGTGTGTGTTTTGGTGTGGCTTCACGCTTATTGTCTCATTTAAGTGTGAGTGCTCTTTCTCGGCAATAAGGTCAGTGGTCACTGGTGATATCAGGGTCTGGTGTCAGAACGAGTTGCACAGTGATGAATGGGAGTAATCTCACAGCTGTTACACAGTCACAGACATTTTACTCGGGGGAGGGGAGAGTACGAGTGAACACAAAATTTATTATAAATATACATTTACATAACAATTTCTATGTCTTTGTCTCTCTCTCTATCTCTCTCTCTCTGTCTATATATATATATATATATATATATATATACTTTGTTTACCCTATTCTGTACATGTATTTGTATGTACACAATGTTATTTATGTTGCGACTGATACAAAAAGCCATGCAATATCTACAGTACAGTAGACAGTATATCTATGAAACCTAGTTTTGTTCTCAATAAATAGTAATAAATAATCTAACTCATGTTGTTGTATGTTCTACTGCCCATAACATTTACATTACTGCTTTGGATTAACGTTTTCCCTTTTTCGTCATGACCTGATGTCAGTTTTAGCTGCTTTGACTGTATTTGCTGATAAGATGATAAGTTCCTTCACTCCACATTCTCTGAAGATAGACATTTCAGTTGGGCGTCTTTGTCCTCAAACGTCACCTTTTTGTTCCTCTTTGGGTCAATCCAAGAGTTGTGAATAATAGCGTTATTGGGGGTAGGGTCCGCCTCAATTATTGACACCACTCGCTTCTTCATCTTGCTTTTCAAGACTTTCTGGAACTTCTGCCTTGTGAAGGCATAGAGTAGTGGGTGAAAGATAGTTGTCCCATAAGCCATGACCAGGAAGCCTAGTCGCAACTTGACCATCAGGTCACTGAGGCCCACGCTGAGGATTACTGTGTTTAGTACCGTGATGGGCGTCCAGCACAGCAAAAAAGTAGACACGATGAGGAGGGACATTCTGAAAACTCTCTTTTGGCGTTCTCGTCTTTCCCTGTGACGTTTAACTGCCCTGCGCAAGGCAATAATGACGGAGACGGAGGTTCGCATACCCAGCGTGGGATTACGGGTGCCACTGCTCTGCGAGCCGTCCGTGGTCTCTTGCTGTGTTGTCATGGTTGTCATGGACAGACGCTTTTTCCTGCGAGCTTTCTTCTTCTGTGAAGCATGGAAACGCGTACCAATGCGAATGTTGAGCGCTTGCAGGATCTTTGAGTAGGTGATTAGCATGACAATTGCAGTAAAGAAGAAAATAGGAATCTGAGCAAGCAAGTGGTAATAGAGGCCAAGTTCATTGTAGTACTGGTTAGTGGGGACCACGTTCTCCACCAGTGTCTGGTTCTGCTCTGTGTGGCCTTGAGCAAAGAAGCCCACCTCAATAAAGGGTACAAGGAAGCTAACAAAGGATAGCACCCAGATGGTGGCCAGCAGGGCCAGGGCACGACCCATGGTCAGGACTCTGTTGGCTGGTTTGACAGAGATGTCGTAACGATCAAGGGTGATGGCCAGTACATTAGCAGCAGTGGCAACACTAGCGAAGGAAACACAGGCTTCATGGAAGCAACAGACGAGGGCTGTGTCTCCTTCCAGGGAGAGTAGGACCACCACAATGGTGAGAGGGATGCAGCACACGCAAACCAGTACATCCAGCACATGGAGGTTCATAGTGACGATGTTACTGACGGAGCTAATGAGGTTTGACTTCATGCAGTAAAGGGCAAGCACAGTGAGGTTGGAGCTCAGGCCAAGCAGGATTTCTAGCATGAGGAAGCCTGTCAGGGAGACCTGAAAACTAACAGGATATAGGCTGGGGGTCGCCGGACTCATGGTGCCGCTGATGGGCTCAGTGTTGTCGGTGACCGTGACGTTGCTCATGGTGGCTTCTTTTTCAGGGCACATTATCCTGTGTGTAGGGAGTGAAAAAAAAAAAATTTATGAAGTGGAAAAGGAAATGACGGGTTTTTGTTTGTGCATCTCTGGGAAGTTCCATTTAACACTTATGTGATAACTCTTATCAGATGAAGTTATCCAGTAAGAAGGAAGCGTCAGCATTTAAATGAGAAATACCAAGAGCACACACTTAAATAGAGCAATGATTTTCTTTCCTGTTATGCCCTGAAGATTAGATTGTCTCACTACGTGATTGGCATGACTCCTTGGTAACTATACTGTCTCAGTGATCCTATTTCAGGCTGTTGCGTCTACACCGGAGTCATATCACAGACTGAATTCCAATGTTTTCATTTTCAAGATTGCTTGGTATATTGTTGTTTTGTCAAAACCTACTTGTGGCACAGTGTAGTTCTGAGCATCTACTGAATAACACTTTATAACACATTATATGTTCCTTAGTAACTAAACTAATCATTTTTCACAGCATTTTCTCCACTGCAAAATTATGAATTATAGTTTATAACAAGATGACTCTGCCAAACAGGGATGTTTACATTGTCAGACTTCCAGCTATTAGAGATGCACATTAAAATACTGAGTGTCCATTCAGGCTAATCAATGGATCAAAGAAAAAAAGCTGCTGGCATTTGGAAATGTCATAAAATTGTTGTTAGGAAGAAGAAAAATTATATCTTACTCTAGGATAAATCATAACAGCTTATTAGTGCATGCATTATTAAACTCATCTAGCCAACCCCAGTCAAATCTGAATATGGTTATTAGATGACATGGAGAACAACAAATGTTTCTGTAATATTTACCCTTGCCTCCAGCACTATCTGAACACCAGAGCGGTGTAATCAGGCCATAGAGTCCATGTTAGATCCACAGAGACGAGCATCGCATCCAAACATCGCTTGTAGAAAAGTGCTTCCGTTCAACTAGAGCCCCCAGCGAGGCTTTTCCTTTTACTGCTAGTCCCTCCCAGAGAGGCCGAAAAACCCCAACTGTCTCACCAAAGATGTCAATGAGTTGTCACTTTTCTCCTTTCTGACCTTGTTGGCAAGAAAGCTAAGCAATTAGCCACCTGTATCCAGTGGATGCTGGGGAACATAGGCTGATGTCTTCTAGGCTGATTTTTTTTCTTCTCTCAGATCTCTGGTTTGATTTGGTAATGCTGAGATAACTGATAGATGAGCAGAGCAGGGATCAGATGTCTGAGCCACCTCCTGTTTATAGTCGCATGATATTCCCAGGCAGGAGAGTCACAGCCAACCAAGAAAACAAAGAAACGCAGACTCTCTTTCTCCAGTGCAGTGCTAAAATGTACTGCTCATAACATGAGCCTTTTTGCTTCTTTTGTATACAGTGAGAAAATAGCAGTCAGATATTTGTGTATAAGAAAATAGTTACATCCATATCCATGTCTGGTACTCCAAGAAGCGCAGTTGTCTGTCTGCCATGCAGATATTTCCGGTGCACACCACAGTAATGTCCCACATGTATTTGGGAGAGGTCAGAGTGTCCGGCCAGCATACAGGCCCATGCTTCCCCTGGGAGTACTAATGGAACAGGCCTTCAATCTCTACCTTTCTCATTAGTCTCTGTTCTCTTGGCTCCAGCTGCCATTGACTGAGCACAGATCTCCAGTTTGTCCCACGACATGCTTAAACCTAAATCACCGGAGATGGCATGACTGTAGCGTATGTGTATCCAGTCGCAATGACATATGTGAACACTGTCATTTGTGATTACCAGTATTTAAAGGTACTCAGGAGGGCTGGGGTGGGGTAGGGTGGGGGCTTGAATCTGCAATTCAGGCAAAGGTCATTATTGTGAGGTAGTGGATGTCAGTTCACCAGAGAGAGAAATTGCCTTTTAGATTTTGTAAAGAGATCCCAGACAATAATTAGTCTTTAGGAGGCCGGATGTGTAAACGGTAACATCTACATGTCCTTCAGTTCCACACCTTTCATTCACAGTGACCTAAAGAGACAGAGAGAAAAAGAGAGAGGACAGGAAAATGGATAATAACGAGAATAAGATAAGGACAGAGAGGGAGTAGAAGGAGAAGAAAAGGGAAGTGTGGGGGACGAATTAGTGAAAGTAGACATATCCTCAATAGAGAGGCGACAAAGAAATTCTCATTAACAAAGCAGCAAGCCTCTGATGTCTTATCGTGTTCCTGTGCAGAACCTGATGCACTTGGTGAACGAGACAGTAGCACTAATAAAGGGATGCACAAAAGCCACGGAGTATTTTACATCTCATCGTTCTGTTTTGAGATTCAAGATTAACTGCAGCGTTATCTTGTGATTCGTGTTATGCATGTACATATCAATAAAGGAAAATGCTTATTAGGATGCTACTTGTGCAGCAACAGTGTTGGTGACATTGCTGTTGTTGCATTCTCACCAACGGCACAGACTTGCTTAAAGCTTTGGTGGAGTGCGATCCGTTGGGAAACTTGCTACAGAGACATGGATGCCTCCTCGCATGCCCCGATATGTGATCCATATAATCTCTCTGGAAGAACACATCTGTCACTCTTCAAGGTTGCAAAAGTGAGATATGCCTTTACTTGTATACCAGAGTGCCATCATAAATGATCGTTCCTCTGTAGCACGTAAGACATACAGCACAATTTTAAGGTGAACAACCAAGATTTCATGTTTAGTTTCTTATATCACAGAGCATAGGGCATGTGCTTGTTTGTAAGTAGGTGTGTAGCAGTAAGACACAAGTGTGCCCACAGTGGAATACACGTACATTGCAGTGGATAAAATTGAAAAAAGAAGAAAAAGCCTTTTAGACAATTAGCTTCCTTGAATTGCCCATTAAAAACCAGAATTGGTTTTATTTAGCTACTAATTGGTTTAAGCAAAACCAAATGTTTCTCAATTAAAGTCCTCCAAAAACACATCATGACTGAAACTGTTCAGGAAATTATATTTGCGATTTCTAATCCTTCACAATTGTTCTAACAGAGATGTTTGGTCCTTCATTAATCTTTGCTGCCATATACTCTCTGCTCGGCTTAGCGCTGTAGATCAAAGCAATAAGTATAGAGTGCCCCATCACAGCACAGCAAAGCTCACCATGCAGAGTAAACACAGATGCTCCTGAGCTGGTCTGTTCACCACGCTGTCCCCTGTCCTTCCACCTCTGCAACAATTCGGTGCGACTGACAGAAGCTGATGTTTTTCTCTTGCACTTCTCCCAGCAGGAATCCAGGACTGAATAGTGATGAACATACAAGGATCACACAACTGACAGATGTTCTTTCCTTCCTGAGTACCAGACAGAAGAAGTCCAGAAAGATGAGTCTTGACATGGATGTTGGTGGGATTCCCCTTTTTTCCCTCTTTTACCCATTTTACTTTCATCCATCCATGCGCACTGTGAAAACTCCTTTAGCCACCCAACTCTCTGTTGTGATCGCTCCTTCTGTCAGGATAGGAGTGCAAACCATCACACTCCTGGTATCTCTCTCCTGCTCTGCTCCCCTCTTTCTCCCTCACTCCCTCGATCCCTCCCTCTCTCTCTCTCTCTCTCTCTTACTGCGGAGGTTTGCAGTGCTCTCCCCGTCCTGATTGGTCTCCTGTAATAGGCTTAACTCTTTCCTCTCTGGCAAGGGGAGGTATTTCCTTTTGTTCTGATGCTCTCCTCTTTCCCTGTCAGTGATTGTAGCATTCCATGTGAGCCTGTAGTGAACAGCGTGGGATTAAAAAAAAAAAACTACTACACTTATGCACAGGGACTTTAGATGTCACTGCGCTAATCACACATCCTGCTTCAAAAGCAACCGGGCAGACTTTCGAAGCAAAAACAGGGGTAATGCATCCAGGATGATGTATTAATTAGCTCTGTCACAATATAATGAACAAATAATGCGTTTGTAGACCGTGGAAGGAATGATGAGGATGGAGAGCCAGAAGAGAGAACCAATATTTCAGCATTGATTTTTGTGCACAGGTCTAATTTTGCATGTGCAAGTGAGCATGAGAGACAGCAAAGCTGATAGAGAAGAGGTCAATTCTACGTGGGGGGGGAATGGATAATGCAGGAAAGGTAGAATTCAGAAACAGGAGATAGAGTATTGTGGGCTCTGATTGATAGTTTCAATTAAGTTACTTTGTCAGATCAGTGAGAGGTTGACCACCCTCTGTTTCTTTTTCAAGTCTCATTTGTCAGGTGCAGTTATTGTCAGAGGGCATCCTGGTACCTGACAGCCTGCAGTAAAGAAGATGATGCCAACTGTCATTCTGGCATAGTGACTTGAAAAGAGCAATTAGCCCACACTTAGATTCAAAATTAGACCTTTACAAATGCGTTCAGGAGAAGAAAATCTGGGAATGCGCAACATATCCAACCTTGAAGTCAATGAGTGATGGTGAAAAAAGAAATCTGTGGTGGTCAAAAGCTCACCAAAACTGGGCAGCTGAAGATGAAAAATACACCTAAAATTAATAAAGTGATTGTTTGCAAAAGCTTTAATTTGCAGTTTCAACCTGCCTTATATCAGCAGTCCATGTTTGTGGTTGTGTGCGATGGTGTGGGAAATGTTTTCTTCACTCACTTTAGGCCCCTAAAACCAGTCAATGAATATGTAAATGCTTATCTCGGTATCACTGCTGAATATGTGTCTTAATAGCCCCCTGTTTTCCATCTTCTAATGGCTACTCCTGTCGTGTTATAACATTGGAGACAGTAGCCTATTAGGCATGTGCTCTGAAGATCCAGATTCAGAATCTTGGATGTTGTAGAATTGAGACATTTTTAGGATGAATGTGTATCTAACACATCGGCAGAAGTGACATAATGCAATAATTTTAACATGGACTCAGGAACATTTCCAGCATCCAGCGTTGAGAGCTAAAGGAGAAAGAGGGGTTGGTAAGTGCTCAGTAAGTGTAGTAATTGCACGTTATCATCTGCCACCTACTTTGCAAGGCATTTAGAGTTTTTTGTATCAAAGGTCTAAATAAGACTATGAATTACAGCACCCAGTTTCAAATAAATCAGTCACTCTATCAAGTATACATCCATGCATCTTCTTCTCCTTTTATGTCAATATTTCACTAGCTTGAGCACTTCAAAAGTGAGGATTTTCTGATTGCTCAATTTCAAATTTACATTGTTGTTCATCGATTCGGTTTGAAAACCACAAGTGTGAAAAGGTAACTTGTGATGACAGTTTTTTTTTAAATATTTTATGACATTAGATTGGGTAAACTTTTATAGCCAACTATTTGTAAAGAATTATTTTTGCCAATGTAATGCGGTGCCTCTTTCATTTTTATTCTGTTCTTCTGCTAGAGCTGAAAAAGAGTTGTACACCGATGGAAATACGTAATCTGTAGAACTGGTAGTGCCACATAGACCTGGCGTTGTATGGTAACAAACCAGTTGAGATATGGGAAGTCTTTTCTGAGCTAATAAGCTTGCAGCTCAGGCAGTTATGTGTTTCTACTTTTTCTCTAACAGATTCACACGCTGATTAAACACGTTTAGTAGAATTTGTCATTCATTTGATCATTTACAGGATGCATGGCAATCTGTTAGCTTCCATTAGCAAGAAACAAAAATAAACTCTAGTGGATGATTCTGTATCTTCCTCTATGAGTGTTACAGTGCACACTTCTACCAAAATATATGCGGGGCTGACGGACACCGGTTGAAATTAGTTTTTCACATATTGCTGAACTCTAGTTGAAAGTGAGGTGGTGAGCTTTGCAGCGGGTTTAATGGAATCAACTGCTTGACACTGTACCAATGCCAGCTCCTTCAGTGTAAACCAAATTGGAAGTCAAGGGGAAAACAGTTTCACCATCACTATCACTGAATCATGTGTTTTCTCGCAAAAAATCCATAGAGTGATAGCTGTGAAAAGGTAGCTGCAAATAAAAATGCATTCTCAAAGCTATCAATAGAAAGGATAAGGTTAGTATTTCATTTCCATGAATATTTCATTGAGCTTTTTCGCTCCATCTCATATACTCTACTGTCTGATATTCACTGCAGTTTTATTATTTAGTCTCTGCGTGCCTGTAGATGTCCACGGATATGCTGTATGCATGTTTTTGTACATATTCAAATGTGTGAATATCTTCGCCTATGCAAGATCCTCCTTGTCACAGAATGTGTGATGTGTCTGTGAAGAGGACCCTCTCTGGCCTTAGCCCATCAGATGAAGCAGATGCAGATTTGCCAGACAGGGGCTGTCTTATAACAAGTGTACAATTTGCATGCCAAACATCAGCAGGCAATCATGCATTACAGGGAGGGAGCAATATGGGCCAGAGAAACCTACCGCATTCACTTTTATCTCTGTCTTGCAGCATGCATTGTGCAGGACACAATTTGGTGCCACTGTGATTTGTCCCAGAACGAAACTGCTCTCACCTGATCTATGGAAACTGCCCTTTTAACAAAGCCCGAGGAGCTCCTGCTTTAGCCTCATGCGAACATGTGCGGTCATTTGGAAAAGGAGAAAGGAAAATGATGTCTCCTAAGCTGCTCCTGTATTTGCTTTTCTTGTTGTAGGAAATTCTTCCCAGCTATGGCTTAAATCCCTCATTTGCCTATTCATCGCTAATCAGTCATTGCTTTCGAGAGAAATCAAATGCCAAACTCTTATTTTTACTCTTAGGATCAACGAGGGCTGAATGATGAGCTAGTCTAAATAACCACTGTGTTGTGCAATCAGCACTTAGAGTGAAAAATTAAACTGGCAAAATGAGAGTTGTTAGCTTCACAAAGGTCGATCTTTCATGGAATAATGAGGAGGATTAAATGACTTTGTGAACATAAAAAGCTTGAAAGAGTGGAGTGTCTTGCTGGAGTCATGAAAACCATATGTCCTAAAAATGAGAGATCATGAAGCTGTCAAAAGATTTGGAAGCAATTGAGAACACAGACAAATACTTTCTATGGTATTAAAAGAACAGCTGCAAAAAGCTCATCTTGAGCAGCAAAGTGGCATCAGCAGGAAACTCAAACCAGCATTTTGGGTACTTGTAACCAAAACCCAGACAGAGAAACATTTGCAGTGAATTGCCACTCAGCCCTAACAAGACTACAACATCAGAAAGGAGGTGGTGGACAGATGATCTTGCTGGAATATTGACCAGTGAAATGAAAATATCTCATTAGAATCTCTTCTATGGTGTGAAAAGAAGATATCTTCCAGAATAGTATTATCATCATGCAGGACAACACACCATCCCATGCTGCACAAAAAAGACTTCTTGGTTGCTATGGAAATAAAAAGAGAAAGAAATTCATGGTGTGGCATCATCCCCTGACCTAAACCCTGATGAAAACCTATCTATTTAAGAAGGATGAGGGAAGGTATAAGCATGCCTTGAAGCAGTAGTGGCAGAAACCATACATGGACTTAAAGTTGAAAGGATTAGAGAGCTCGTAAACTGATAACAAAAAAGGGCCTTTGTATGACTCTGTTCTGTTCATGACACAAACACAACACATATCTGTTTGGCATCTGTTACGACCTGCTGAATGGTTTTAAACTTTATTCTGCATTGTAATTTGGTCCAATGTATTTTGTTCTTTTCAAAAATGTGTTAGATTGTAAACAGTTGAGCACAATCTGATAGCGTTATGTTCTTGTTCTGTCACTGTCACTCAGAGAGGAATTTGAAAGATTATCAAACAAGACTTGAATACTCCAAATTTGTTCATGTTAAAAAAAAAATATTGTATTAGATTTTTTTTTCATATGCTCTAACTTGATTTGTCCAGCCACCTATCCCACACAGTGATATAAGTTTTTGAAAGTTTCCACATGTACTTCTGAGCGTTTTCTCCAGTGAATTATCAGAAAACAGGTAAATTATCCAGGGTAAAAACTATATATTTTTTTCTTTTACTCAACATACCGTATTTTTCAGGCTATAAGGTGCACTTAAAAGCCTTCAATTTCCTCAAAAATCGACAGCGCCATATAATCCGGTGCGCCTTATGTATGAATTCTGGTTGTGCTTACTGACCTCAAACCGATTTTATGTGGTACACGGTGCTCAAAAATCTGTCAAAAAATGTTTCAGTATGACTTTGGTAAACTATGAAGCCACACCGCTTGATGGATTGTTGTAGCATTACGGCTGCCGGAGTCAGGAGCCTCGCAGAGTAATCTGGGTCCAAAACTCTGTCTGTTTCAGGTCACAAAGTCAAACAAACACTGCAGCATCACTGAGAGTTAAAAACTGTCTAAATTCTTTAATCCTTAATAAAATGAGTGTGAGGGTGTAACAATTAAGTTTAACATCCAGGCATCCATGAAAACAGAATTTATTAAATTCAATTTAGAAGTTAGCAGGAAGTTAGCTCGCTAGTTTCCACCTAAGCATGATATAGCATGTTCTGACTGAGAGATTTCTGAAAAAATTAAAACATACAGCTCTGCTATCACTTCCAACATAAACAAAGACAGAAAACTAAACAGCAGTG